AATACCTAAGGCCATACCTTTACTTTAAAGTAGTCTAATTTCATTACATGTGCGATCCCATGAAAATTATACTTGGAATTATGACTCCACAAGTAAACCGTGTATGGAGAATCTAGAAGATGTTTATCTAATTACCGAAAAGATCAAGATGTTTAGAAAAGTTAAAATCTGAAAGAATCAAAAAGTCACACTCCTTATCTATTATCCAAGAAAGTAAAATCTATGTAAAACAATATATGATTGAGTTTTTTTTGCCTGAATAAGAAGCTTGACGGTACATGTATTATATTGGCACAAAATTTCACTGAATACAGAAAACCAAAAAGTTAAAAATTGTGCAGCCATTCAAAGACAGCAACCATTTGCAAACTAAACCATGTGTATCGGATAACATTTTCCCAGGTGCAAAAACAAATCTGTTTTTTATAAGGCAAAAAAATATGCCAATCAAAGAGCACACATCAAGCAATGGGAACATTACAAATTACTATCATTTGGGAAAGGTCAATTACTTGTTCTCTAGATGCATATGCACCACTGATTAGCCCATGATTTTTTAGACTTAAGAGAAGCACCAAACTTTTCACCTCATTGTAATTTAAATACAAAAGCAACAAATAGTAAATATTAATCAAAACTCAATAATAGCAAAATGAATACTTAGCACCTGTTAGAATAAGACTTCTCAGTAGGAGATATAGACATATAGTGATATACAAATGTAAAAGTTATTACATTAGAATAGTTTGTAGCTATGCAACTGACCTGAGATAAAGCATATGGTGCAAGAAGAGATAGATTACCGTATAAAACATTGTTGCTTATGCACGAGCTACGTGAACCATCAATAACTGAAAAAAATGATGAGAGTGAATATATTGAAGAGTGAAGACGCATATACACTCTAATATTACTAATAGAATACTATATATTTCAGAATTAGTGATTATATATTCTAATAGGTTAGGTAAACTAATAAGATGAAAATCTTCATTTTCTCTCCTTCCTCATCATTACCCCAGTGCCACAAAGGCTCCCACCTACAGTGGGGTAGGAGGGGTCAGATGTACGCAGATACTAAAGCACAGAGAGACTGTTACCGAATGACCCATAGTGAAAATCGCGTCGAAAATTGAATAAGCAGACTGTTACTTCATGACAAAGAATCGCAGACAGTTTAGTGAGTTGTTTTGCTTTATTCCATCATATTCCCAAGCAAAAAAATAGTGAGTCTTTGCCTCCATTGAAAATGATGGAAATCATTTTCCCTCCTTGAGAATGAAAAATATTACGGAGTAATATATAGTTGTATAATTATTAGACACGATAGGATGTATATCTTTTTTAATACTACAATATATATCATTAACTTGATTGATTAAGAATGATAAGAAACTTACTTCAGCTCAGCTCCAAGCTTAAAAAAAAGTCATGAACCTTGTTAATAATTCCTTGACCTAAAGAAAGAATCAATTAAAAAAATTAATAGCTTATAATTCATCCATTGGGGTAAAGTCGTACTCCATAATAAAATACAGAAACGTAAATCTCTCCTTTTTTGATACATAAACATAAATCCCTCCTAAATCATCTAAAAACAAAAGAAAAACACAGAAGTTTTTTGTTCATACATTTCATCAAACACCTTATTGGCATCATTAATAAAGAAAGGGAGGAAACCAAAACCGAACCTTTAAATTTTCTGAAATCAAACATAATGAACAAATCCACAAAAAAAGTTCTAGGGAAGTAAATCAATTAAAGGAGATCAACAAGTAGCATATAAATCAATGAAGTGGCCACCTAAAATAATCGTATTCGTATATAAACAAAGCCTAGCTTGAAATCAGAATTCTCATCCAGACTTGTATAGTAAATCCACAAATAAAGAACGGTTTGGCTTACTGAAATACAGAAGAAATAAACGAATCTGGAGCATACGAATGATTTGCGACGAATAATGTTCATTAGAGATTAGTAAAGGATAGATGACTACATCGCATAGATCTGAAAGAAAAGAAAAAGAAAATAGAAGTTACTTGCGTAAAGGCGGTGTGAGAGTTGTCTGTAATTTCTTTAGCGGCGCGAGGTTTCTTCGAAGATCGGCACACGGCTGGTCGATTATCGTTGCGTTTTCGATTTCTCGAGCGTGAGGAGATGGAAGATCGGCACAAGGCTAGTCGATCGATGACCGTGTCGTCTCTGCCGGTAAGCTTCTTGGTCGCCTTTTCGATTCATTGGGCTTCTTTTTGGTGGTCTGGACTCCGGAGTGAATAAGAAGTCTTTTTATTTTTAATTTTTAATACTCTATTAAAATGGGGTGCCAGGTGCCCAGGCCCTAGGCCAATCAATATGTTGCAAAAATTCAAGCAATTCGTTACAACTTACCAGTACATTATTATACTCCGCATATTAGTTATTGCAACATTTTAATATAACTGTTACATATTATTAAAATACGTGTAACATTTTATCCTAAGTGTTGCATAAACGTATACCTAAAGTGTTTATGCAACCTTTATAAATAAGTGTTGCAAAAAATTGAGTTTGAATGAAATATGCAACAAAAAATTAAGTGTTATAAAGAAAGTGTTACGAAAAGTCATTTTTGTTGTAGTGTGGTCATCTAATTGCTTTGAGATATTAGTATTGTAATGTCACATATGTTGCATAAAATTGATTTCTTTTGTCAAAGTGTATAAGGACAATACACATCTCATATAATTATATACATATGTGTGTGTACTGAAACGATAGATCTCAATAGATATCCATATCCGTTCAAAAATACACAAATTCAATAATTAATTCAATATGATTAAAGTCTTTGTTTTTAAAAATCAAATAAATAAATGATAAATAATAACTTTGTTAAGCGAAATCATATTCAACTGTACACGCCAACACTTACAATCATGTATGAAAAAATAACACAAACATAGTAATACATTAACGTTCAAGAACAAAAATGTATGAGATATATCAAAATGAGGAAATAAGATGTAAGGTTCGATATCATTTGATTATCACTCAGTCTTCGCAGTGTGGCAATGGTCAAATAAGGCAACATCAGACAAAAATAGCACCCACTTCACACTTTGAAAATGATATGGTCAGATTTAGTGATAATCGCCATAGTGAGTTAGTGTAGCATGTATGGAGAGGAATCATATGAAATGAAATGAAACCCTAGAGACGGTAATAAAGAACATATGAAAAACTAATGGTCTCTCAAGACGGATGAAGGATACATGAGAAGGCTGTAGGGTAAAGATGGATTACATAGGGCGAGTTAGGTTTGGGTTGATGAGTATCTTTTAATATAAAGTGTTGGGCTGAGCTGTTGGTAAAATGGGCCGTATAAAATGGAGTTCATCTAATTTAAACATACCCTTTGGCCTATACAATGTCATAATAATAATTATTAAATTATTTGTTATCATATTATTTATTATTAATATTAGGGAAAAGTAGCAAATTAGTCCTCGAATTGACTTAAAACGTGCAAATCACCCCTTTTATAGGAGGCTCTGTCCGGCCGTCGCCATTTGGGGCCTTCATTAAGTCTAGTTTACTCATACCAAAGGTCAGCTAAAAATTTAATCGAGAAGGCAGCCAAATGAAGAAGATGCCAAATTAAACAGATAAGTATATTTCAGAAAATCATTTGTCTGTCTTCCTGGTTGAATTTTTAGCTGAAATTTGATATGAGTAAACTAGACTTGAAGAAGATGCTAAAAAAATTTGATCAAAAAATTCCACCGGAAACCACCCCAAATGGCGACGGCCGAACAGATCTTCCCATATAAGAAGCAATTTGCACTTTTTAAGTTATTTCGAGGGCTAAGTTGCTACTTTTCCCTTAATATTATGATTTTTTTTAATATTGTAACAAAAATAATATAGAATATCTTTTATATTATTATTAATGATATTGATATTATTCTTACATTATTATTATTAGTATTATTATATAATATATAATCATCATATATTTATACATATATTTGATATGGTATTATATATTATTAAAAGTATTATTGGTATTACAATTATTATAAGGGAAAATGGAAACTAATAATCCAACTTTTTAGCGGTTTTCTTACAATAGTCCCACCTTTTCGTTATTAATGAATAATCTAACATTTGCACCTCATCTTCATTCACTGGTCCCTGACTGGTTGATGACCTGTTATTCCAAGTTATTTTCTTATCATTGCAAACTATTATACCATAAATCTCACTTTTCACAAAGATAATATTTTGCAAAGATAAGAAAATAACTTGGAATATCACGTCTCTAACCGGTCAGGGACCAGCGAATGAATATAATGTGCAAAGGTTGGATTATTCTTGAATAACAAAAAAGGGGGACTATTGTAAGAAGACTGCTAAAATGTTGGATTATTAGTTTCCATTTTCCCTTATTATAATTATTACTATACTATTCAGGTTGATTGTTGGCATATTAAAATTTCAAAAAATAATATGTTTTTAATTTAATATCATTGGGATGACACCTATACCCCTTGTATTTATTTATGCATGAACTAATAATCTTAATAAATAATATGACATAATTATTACTCCCTCTCTATTTAAAAGATCCATACATTTTTTGGGATGTATTTAAAAGTTTCCCACACTTTCCCATTTTGGTAAGTTTTTCTTTTAAAAGTATTCAATTACCCTTACTTTTTCTACTTTGGTAATCATCTCTTTTCTACAATTTTACCTTCTCTACTACTTTTTCTATACTATTATTCATTACCCATACTATCCCACCTTAAATCTTGTGTCATAATCAACCGTAGTAATCTTTTAAATACGAAGGGAGTATATATTAATATATCCTCGTGGATCAGACAAAAGGTGATAATTTGGTAAAGTATTAAATCGAAGAAATTTGCAAACCTCTCTTGAGCAGTAAAAATAATGTTCAGGGATTTAGGGATCACAGTTTGAATAAGGTAACGTCTTTTTCACACACAAGCCCATCGCGGTTAAATGTGCCCTATTTGGCTAATGGACGAGTTAAGAAGTCTGAAACCGAATGGATTTCCCAAATTTATATTGCAATTCGATTCCTACTGGTTCCACCTGCACAGACGTAAAGGCACCAATATATATCACGATTTCAGACGAATTGAGGGACGATCACCAGTTTGATCGACTAGGTCTTATCCACAAAAGTTTGAGAACCAGGATTCCCGTTTCCGCAGGGTTTGATTGATTGGAACCGGGATGATGATGACGGACAATACTTCGGAATTGCGGTATCCGGAGGAGTTATCTGCAGCCAGCGGTGAAGCTTGTGGGAAGGATTCTGATGATCTGTCTATAGATATCGATGACCTTTTGAGTATGCTCGGGGAGAAGGATTCCGATAATTTTCAGGTGCGTATAATAATTTGGTGAAACAAGGTTATTACCTTTTGCAACTTCTCTGAGTTGTTAATTTAGATTTACTCTTGTAATCTTTTTGAGTTGGAACAGAGGAGGACGTTTCACATAGTTGTTATAATGTCTTAAAAGAGTGCTTGTGTGAGTTGTAAGTGAAAGACATGAATTTTATATCTGCCCGTAGTCTGATATACAACGCTTCTAGGTTGTGTTTTTTAACAAAGTTAAGAGAAGGTTTTGGTCAGCATATTCTACCTCATAGAATTATTGAATTGGCGATACACTGATACTTGCTCAACATAATAACATCTGAGTTTTGGTTTGCAGAGCAGATCAGGGGATTCATCTTCGAATTTCATGCCACATGGTAAGTTTGCAATGGTTCAGTGAAATCCTTGTAAATGTAGTCATTCCGGTCTACAGGTTGACGGTTCTGATTTTGTTTTTATTTTCTTGGCAGTCCACTCTTCATCAAAGCCTCCATTTTCAGCATCGACATATGGGCCTGAGACTTTTAATTGTTTGGCTGGTGCTTCACGTCCTGGTTCATATGAAGTTGGCTCTGTTGTTCATAGTTCAGTTGGGAGCCTGCCTCACTGGATGCTTCCAGGCAATGGTAAACTCTGTTCAGATGCCGATAGCCCATCAAAGAGTGATTCATCTAATATCAAAGAACCATTAGCATCAATTATAACAGAATCTTCTGCAGCAGAATTTGAGATGCCTTCATGGGCTGAGCTTTTTGCTGCCTCCACTCAAGCTCAGACTAGAGGTTTAAGTGAAATTGGAACTTGGACGCAAGATTCATCACACAAATTGTCAGAAGATATCCCATCATTTCCATCGCTTGCACAGAAGGATTTTTCTCGCAAATTAGGTTTTAGTATTTTGCCATGCAATGTTGGGAAAATGCACAATTTAAAGAATGAAATACAGGAGCCTTTGGCTCAGTATAGCAGAACAGACATCATCATTGGCAATGGGGATTCAAAAGCAAGTGCAGATGGAGTTTGGGATGCTCTTACTGCTGCTGATACTAAGATGCTGAATGTTAACTCTCGTTATGTTGAAATGAGGGTCCCTACTCAGCAGCACATTCAGTCAAGTAGGCTCTGCAAAAAGCTAGAATGTACAACTGATCTAAAATATGAACCGATGAATAGAAACCCATGTACTGCTGATGAAACAATTGTTGCTAAAGAGCTGTCAGATCCATATTCCTCTCACAATTTCCCTTTCTATTCAAGCAAGTTGCATATGCATTGTGGAAATGATCAAAAGCAAGACGTATTGTGTGAGTTTGTAAAGCCTGGCCATCATTCTATTAGGCTCATTGATGGCACCCCTGAGAGGCCCATTCTTCTTAGTCATGATCCTGATCCTGATGTGCAGGTTGTAGAGAAATATCATTCCTTGCCAGTTTCAGTTAAGAATGAGTTTCACTGCTCTAGAGCAGAGAACAAACATATAGTGGCGCCAGAATTTGACTCTCATATGGCAACATTTACTCCACAAGTAATTCAAAGTAGTTCATTTGCTCAAAGATCTTACACTGCTATCGACGATGATGACGATGACCTGTGCATTCTTGAGGATTTGAGTGCACCTGCACGTCCGAATCTATCTATTCTTAAAGGGATGCCCTATGTTACTTCACACCATGCTGCATCTAGTGAAAACTTCGCTCATGTTGGAGTGGGACAAATGAAGCTCAAGTTAAATAACGAGCAATCTATTTTCGAAGCTGCCTTGCAGGTGATTTCTGTAACTGTGGACTCCCTTGTTATAGTCATAATTCATAAAAATGTAATGTCAAATCTATATATGAATGAAAGCTTTATTTGGCTTTGGATGCCTTGTTTGTAGCATTGGCATGGATATGTGAGATACCCTTTTTCATGCAATGATGCAAGAGAACTGTAGATATATAAAAAAAAATATATCTCGTCACGTTCATGTCTAATAGCAGACTCTCACAATTTTGGCCATCTGTTTCACTACAAATATATATGTTGTGTGTCCATGAAGACAAAGTGCTAACTTATGCAATACCAGTTAACTTTTATTGAACACAGCATCTCTCTTTATTCTCTGTTGAAGTTCTGTGATGTACAGTACCTGTGAAGGTAGTCCTTCATTATACACTTTTTTTCCAACCCATTCCACAAACCAAGTAGCAAACCACCGTTCCTCACCTCTCGACGACCAACCAGCTTGAAGCCCAGCTCCACAGGTGCCTCCTTGCTCTGTACTCTGACCTCACGCAGACATGACATGTGAAGCAGTTTCAGATGACCACTTTGTGAAGCTTTCCCAAAATCTGATAGCCCTCCGAAAAGGTCTAAAATAATATAAGAGTTTCGCCTATTAAAAGTATGATTGTAAGACCTGAAAAATAAAAGATCCTAAAAGGGTCAACCTTACCAAAAAAGTTTGCACCCGAGTGGCTCAACCGAATTGACATCGTCGACTGAATGTGTGAATTAAATAATCAAATACTATTGATAATTAGACATATACTGAAGTATGGAGTTACTTAAGTATGTGATACAATGTTTTTATATGTTAATGGATATATTTCTCAATATTTGAATTCTGAACAGATAATGATTACAATTTGTTCTTAACAATTAGGTATAAGTTTTTTTCTGCTAAGTAGTTTGTTCAAATTTTTTGAACATGAAACCAACAATCTTATATATCAGTATTTTTTATTATACTGTCATACTGATTTCTTAAAAAGTTCAAGCAGTGAGGTATTTCAAAATGCATGAAAATTAAGTATGCCTATACGAAAAATGTGACCTGTGTGTTTAGGGCTGCATCCTGAAATATCTAGCACGAAAAATGAAGCCCATAAAGTATAACCTGAGAGGCCTCACCATTGTTTAAAAAAGCTTATTTGAGGCTCGCCTCAATGTGAGGTGGTGGAAAAATGTCTCTAGGATTAAGCTTCAAGTAATGAATTGAGGCTTAAGGCTTAGATGGTTGAGGCGTTTCTGAGGCTTAAGCCCCAAGGCACTTGTGAGGCTTAAAACATAACCTACAAGGCTATGTGTTTAGTTTTCAACTTTAAGTCTTTTTTTGGGCTAATTATTTTTTTAATAAAATTATACCGGATCTATCATTTCCCAAATTTAGTCACTAAGCCCATTAAAATCCCTAAAATATATTTTTCAAAATCAACAATTATCATCACACAACTCTATTTATAAAGTTCGCATAACTTACATGGCCACAACTACTTTTCACTCCTATCGAAGTGCAAACATTTCTTGCAAAGGTTTTTGATCTACTATCTCTGATTTTCTCTTCTTTCTAACGGGGTTCAATTAACTCAAAACAACTCCAGCAATTTTGTTTTGAAATTAAAAACAGAAAAAATGAAACTTTTTAACCTTTTCTTTTTTATTCAAACTGCTCCATGGTTTCAAAATTTGAGGCTCCATCTATTTCTTCTGTCTTTATTTTATTTAGTACAACAAATGTTAAGTACTTTTCTCTGAAAAGTTAAACTTATGAAGTGATCAATGGCACTTCTTTATGACTCATTTTTTATTCGTGATTGCTAAGTTGTTTTAGATTGTTAGTAATTTTGAGTTATAATGGAAGTTCCTTATTAAGTTTGACGCTTATGCCTCAAACCACTTTGAGGCTTACACCTCACTTCACAGCTACAAAACGCTTCAAGGCTTAAGAATGTTGTTTTTAAACTTTCGCCTTAACCCAAAGCTGCCGGCCTGATTGGCATTACTATCTGGAAACCTTTTGCATGACCTAGAATTTATGACAAATATGGCTGGATGATTTTTTTGCTGACAGTTAAATGTATGTGTTCGTGCTCTAGTTCACATGTTTCTGAATCCTCCCTTGTAGAGGATGATTGCTTTAGTGTTAATGGTCATTGCTGACAGTTAAATGTATGTGTCTGTGATGAAGTTCAAGTGTTATGTTTTTGGATCCGCCACTGTAGAGAGTTATAGGTTTGGTGTTGGTGTTTGCAAATGTTAAAATCTCTTTTTATGTAATGAGCACTATGTGTTTGAATGATGATTTCCATGTTTGTGTGTGGGCGTGTTGCAATCTCAAGCTGGGGGGTCATCTTTTATTTTTTATAAAAAAATACATTTCACCTGATCATGCTCTTTGGTAAGTGAAGAGTCTCAAGGATTCCGTGAGTATATTCTATTTCACTATAAACATGTTTCATGTACAAGGCAAAGAGATGATAAATGTAAGTGAATCAAGTTATGCAATCTCAATACAGCTACAATTACATTCTATTTGGTGCTCGTGCTCCATTTAACTATAAACATGTTTCATGTACAAGGCAAAGAGATGATAAATGTAAGTGAATCAAGTCATATGCATAATTTGTATCATTGTGAAATAGTGGTTATCTTTTGGTAATTCTTCTTGAGCTTCCTATAGTTTGTTTTTATTTCTTCCATTTGGTGATTTTTTTATAACTTCTTTTAAGCAAAACAGCGGACTATGAAATCTTTATATTGAAATATTAAATTTTCTGGTATTTTGACTGTTGCAGGACCTTCCTCAGCCAAGAGCAGAAGATACACCTCCAAATGATGTGTTGTCTGTTCCTCTTTTGAGGCATCAGGTTTAGTGTTTTTTTGGAAATCAGTCAATTGATTTTAACTATCAAAAGTATAGTTGTGGTCAGGATTTTAACAAGTGATCTACAGTAGCGTAGTTAAATGGAATTAGCTTGCACACATTTTCTTGTGGTGATGTTTTGGACACTATCATATTGAACTAATTTGTTTAATGGTTTAACTAGAGTTATCATATTGAACATGTTTTTAGCTTTGTGGCAAATTACATAAAAATCAGCTCTGGTTTTTCGAAATGGGACTTATTTTGGTAAAACTTCATAGCGTTTTTGAATTTGGACCTATTGTTTTGCATTGGAAGGATCACATAAATTGAAATGAAAATTACTTGAGTGAAGTCTTGCTGCATGAGCCAAACAGATACAATGGGATTGAGGAAGTATTAAAATGGCTTCCATGAGTTTGTCAGTTCTCACTATTAAATCCCGATGGTTTCATAATTACCCGTGGAGTATATACTATAATTGCAACTTGGGTAGGATATTATCTGTCCACATTCTTCAAAGTGCCTTCGTCATTTATTCTATCATATATATTGCATTATCATGAACTCCTTTTTGGGATGAAGGGACCATTTCTTTTAGATATCACTAAAAGAGAAGTTTGACTTGACATGCTTATTAATAACATTGAATTAGTGGTTGAGATTCATGTATAGGAGAGACAAATAGTAGAAAAAATAATTTTTTCCTTTAAAAGAAACAAGATTCTTATTTTAGGACAGATAGAAAAGGAAAACACGAACCCCTTTTTCGGAGGGACCATTTCTTTTAAATATCACTAAAAAGGGGAAGTTTGATAACTGTAGTTTCACAATATCTAGTTAAGAAATCTATGTTAGTTGATACTGAAGCCTTGATGTTTACGGAGTATTTTTCAAATTCTTGGAACAGAGAATTGCTTTGGCTTGGATGGTTAAGAAGGAGACAACAAATCTACACTGTTCTGGGGGGATTCTTGCCGATGACCAGGTGGGAATTGAGGTTTCTTTTACTAACTTGCAAACATGTCCGTAAGCCCTAAGTAGGACTACTTGTGTCATTCTAACAGATTTTTACATTTATTGTTCGTAGGGACTTGGAAAGACTGTATCCAGCATTTCACTAATACTCAAAGAAAGACCATCATCTTTCAGGGCACCTACATTTATCCCAAAGCAAACAGAGACAGAGATGTTGAATTTGGATGAAGATACTGATGTTGATTGTCATTCCTATAGACATGGATCAAGTAAAGGTGTTGATTCTAATCAAGGTAATAGTGCAAGTTCCATTAAAAAATCAGTGCTTGCAAAAGGCAGGGCAGCTGCTGGAACTCTTGTTGTATGTCCAACCAGCGTTCTGCGTCAATGGTCTGAAGAATTGCACAATAAGGTAGCAAGCAAAGCTAAACTTTCTGTTCTAGTGTACCATGGAAGTAACAGAACCAAGGATGCTCTAGAGCTAGCCAAGTATGATGTTGTAGTCACAACCTATGCGATAGTAAGCATGGAAGTTCCAAAGCAGCGTCTTGTTGAAGAAGAAGAAGATGAGACAGGAAAGCGATCTGAGGGTTGTCCTATGAAACTTCCATACAGTAAAAAGAGGAAAAACTTTCCTAGCTCAGGAAGTAAATCATCGAAGGCTAGAAGGGGGGTGGACAGTGAATTACTCGACACTGGCACTCGTCCCCTTGGTCGAGTTGTATGGTTTAGGGTAATACTGGACGAGGCTCAATATATTAAGAATCACAAAACACAAGTAGCTAGGGCTTGTTGGGGTCTACGTGCTAAACGCAGGTGGTGCTTGTCGGGTACACCTATCCAGAATTCAATTGATGATCTGTATAGCTACTTCAGATTTCTCAGATTTGATCCGTATTCATCTTACAAAATATTTTGCTCATCACTTAAAGTTCCAATTCAAAAACATCCATCGAGTGGATATAGAAAACTACAAGCTGTGCTCAAGACCATAATGCTTCGTCGTACTAAGAGTGAGTACTGGAGCTTTTTTAGTATTCTTTTCCTTAAAGTAAATAAGGGAAAACTGTCAAATAGGTCCTCGAACTTTCATAAAAATGTCAATTAAGTCCTTCTATAGGAGGTTCTGTCCGGCCGTCGCGATTTGGGGCAGTTCCCGGTGGAATTTTTTGATGAAATTTTTTGAGCATCTTATTCACCAAGTCTAGTTTACTCATACCAAATTTCAGCTAAAAATTCAATCGGGAACACATTCAAATTAATTCTTGAAGATAGTTGTGCATTTTTGCGTTCTCGAATTAATTTGAATGCGCTCCCGATTAAATTTTTAGCTTTAATTTGGTATGAGTGAACTAGACTTGATAAATAAGATGCACAAAAAAATTCATCAAAAAATTCCACCGGGAACCGCCCCAAAATTCGACGACCGGACAGAGTCTCCTATAGAAGGACTTAATTGACTTTTTTATGAAAGTTCGAGGACCTATTTGACAGTTTTCCCAAGTAAATAATGATTTATATTTTGCAATCTGTTTGAGTTGCAGATCCTTTCTAATATTTCTATTGCCTTGCTTAAATGTTTTTTGTGCATACAAATTTTATTCTGATGAAGTCAATATGATTTTTTGGGGTGGGTGGGTTGTCTAAGAGCAGACATTATGCATGTCCCTAAAACATAAAAGTTGCCACATCATGGTTGCTTGATTACTTTTGTCTTTGTTAGATCTTGTATGCTCTAGTGTTAAGTTCCTTCAAACTATTACGGAGTATTATTGTTTATATAGGGGGGATAAATTTTATTATGCATCTATGCCATACTAGAACATTCGATGACTCGGTCATTACACAGATATTTTCATTCTCTAAAACTAGACTATATTCCAACCGTGGATATGTCAGCATGCTAGCACACCTTGAAAGCACCCAAAGACAAGCACACTAAACACACACATACCACTACAATCATATGCTATTAACTTGACAATTATCATTTGAAATCTTCTTTTGAAATATTGGCTAGCCTTTATTTGCATGTGTCTATACTATGCAATAGAAGTTCTTTTATTTTCATTGCAGTGACTTGACCAACAAAACTTGTGTCATTTTAAAACATGATCATTGTGCTTACAACAGTTTGTGTATAATATCATATCTAGGTACACAAATTGATGGAGAACCTATCATCAATCTTCCACCTAAAAGAATAGAATTAAAAAGAGTGGAATTCACAGATGAGGAACGAGATTTCTACTGCAAGCTTGAGTCTGATTCACGTGCACAATTTGCAGTATGTTGATATGAACTTATATTAGCGGTTGAGTGTTTTAGATTTAAATTTTTTATTCTTTAATAAAAAGTTCTATTTTATTTTTTATTCCTGGATTCTTGGATTATTGTAGAAATATGCAGCAGCTGGAACCGTCAATCAGAATTACGTTAACATATTACTAATGCTTTTGCGACTTCGTCAAGCTTGTGACCATCCTCTTCTTGTTGGCGGGTCCAATTCAAGTTTAGTCTGGAATTCATCCGCTGAAATGGCCAAGAAATTACCGCAGGAGAAACAGATTTCACTCCTGAGTTGTTTGGAGGTTTCTTTAGCGATCTGTGGCATATGCAGTGTAAGTGTTCTTTGACTCATGGTATTTTCCTTTATTTGCATATTATATTTTACACTTAACTAGAACATCATTTATGTAACATTGCAACTCCATTAGTTTACCTTTGCCATTTTTGGCTTGATTTATGGTGGTTCTATTTGAATGTGAAAATTATTTACGGCTGAACACTTAATTTTACCTTGAACTATTTTACACTTCATTTCCGTTCTGTACTACTGAATGTACATTAAGTGGTTGAAGGATATCCAAACCAAACCCAAGATTCCATACCCCAAACCAAACAACTCAGCACATCCCAGTCAGAACTCAGAAGTATAGGTCTGGGACTTGTTATATGTATGCCAACCTTATAGGAGTAGAAAGGATGTTTCTGTGAATGAAACTATATAGACTGGTTAGATGTACATCGACCTTTTATGCAAGCTGTATCCAAATATTTTCCATAAATGTTAGCCGACCCCAAACTATTGGGACTAAGGCTTGGTTGTTGTTGTTGTTCTTGTCGCATTTCTTGTTTTAGGGGTATAACTGTAGGTTATCATGCTTAATTTGTAAAAACTTGTACCTTCATTCAGTTAACTAAAACTAAAAAGTTGCACCATAGCTGAAAATGACTTTTTTCTGGAGATCAGAGTATTTATTTGACGTTTCCTTATCTTAGATGATTAATATTTTATGATGATCTAAAATTTTCTAGGATCCTCCAGAAGATGCTGTGGTGTCGATCTGCGGGCATGTGTTTTGCAATCAGTGCATTTGTGAACACCTAACAGTGGATGCTACCCACTGTCCTGCACCAAACTGCAAAGCACATCTTAATGTTTCTTCAGTGTTCTCCAAATCAATTTTAACTGTGGCTTTATCTAATCTGCCCCACTCAGTAAATAATCCCACACATGAAACATCTGATGTTTCATCTTCGGGATGTTCATATGATTCATCAAAAATTAAGGCTGCTCTTGGGGTGCTTCAATCCCTGCCTAAATCTCGAAGTGGCAAATTAGGTGGAGAGAAAGCACTTGTGTTTTCACAATGGACAGGGATGTTGGATTTGCTTGAAGCTTGTCTAAAAAAAACTTCAATTCAGTACAGGAGACTAGATGGAACCATGTCTATTGCTGCTAGGGACAAAGCCGTTAAAGACTTCAACACAATTCCAGAGGTTTGTTGTTACCCTCTCGTGATAAAAACTTTTTATGGTGGGGCAGGGGAAGGGCAGGGAAGGGAAATCCTGTTCTATATATCAGGCTATGTTTGGAACTTGTAAAGTGGCTGGGAAAGGGAGGAATACCAAGGAAAGTGGTTTTTATATGTTTTGATTACCTCAGAAAATACAATGAAAATAAAAACTGGTTAATTTTTTTTGCATATGTTTATATTTTTGTTATGATGCATGCTTTAAGATCAAATATTAAAATTAAAATTTTGGGATTGAAGCATTTTTATGTTTTCTCCATCCATTTTATTGCCTTCCAATTTTCCTATAGTTTGCTCCATATTTGATTTCCTAGCAATTTTAAGCTCCAAACAAACCCTTAAGATTCTGCTTAAATGTTGCTTCTATTCTAGGTTTCTGTGTTGATTATGTCCTTAAAAGCGGCAAGCCTGGGTCTGAACCTTGTTTCAGCTTGTCATGTACTCTTACTGGACCTGTGGTGGAACCCGACTACAGAGGATCAAGCAATTGACCGAGCACATCGTATCGGGCAAACTCAGCCAGTCAAAGTTTTGCGCTTGACTGTGAAAGATACAGTTGAAGATCGTATTCTGGCCCTTCAGGTACTACTAAGTACTAACTTCTTTTTCTTTCTTCTTTGTCCCTGCCACCTACCCCCCTCCCCCCCCACCCACCCACAAATAAGGAAGGCATGTTTGATCAAGGCACAACGTTTTTTGGCATCTTACAACTGCAAAGTCAAAAGTCTTGCCTACATATCGATATAAACTAGTTTGCTACTCAGCGTTTGGCAAGCTGCCCTTAAGACAAAAAACTGAAACATGACTCTTGTTTACCCTTATAAGTGTTCTGTTTAAATCCTGCTAAATTAAAAATTAATGACAAAAACATTCGATGGTAACTGCAAAAATACTGCCATGGTCTATGAAGTGTAAGTTTGAACATTATCATAGTGAACAGGCTTGGCTGCACATTTTGTCCATTATTTTTATTTTCATCATATATTTGTCATTATGTCATTAAATAAGCTACAATAAATGGCTTAATGTTTGTTTGGTTCCAATTTATTGTTGTTTCATATCAAGCCACATGTTTGTGTATATAATAACATGCAATTCCGTGGTTTTCAAAGGAAAAGAAGAGAGAAATGGTTGCATCAGCATTTGGAGAGGATGAGAATGGTGGCCGTCAGACTCGTCTAACTACAGAGGACTTGCAATACTTGTTCCGGATCTAAATCTGCGGTGGCGTCTTTGCATTTGCAATCTTTTAGTGGCAGGCAAACGGGCCTTATCTATTCACATTCTTTACTGGCTAACAGTCCGCCGAAGATGAGAAGATTCATTTTTTGGGGGGAAACTCGCATGAGATAGCGTTCGTCTAACAATTCATTGCCTTGTATTTGAAGAGTAGGTTTTAGGTGTGATCGTATATTGGTCGAGGGTATAGTGGTGGAGTTTTAGATTGATAGTGCTTTCGGTTCAACCTTTCTCTGCATAGGCATTGTTGATGCGATTTTTCTTTCTTTTCACATAGCATAATGTAACTAAGCATATGAAAACATAACATCAGACAGTTATAGCCTTATAGGGTAAGAGTTATTTTCAACAAATGTTTGTCGTTGTTATTAACACTCTGCGTCGCAAATATCAAAGGAAAGTGTAGAATTTAATGCAGTCTCCAAAGTCCAAACCCACCCTACGGCCTACCTATGCTGCGTCAAATTGTCAAAATGCTGATTGGAATGTCATTTACAAAATTATACTATCCTCCGTTCTTTTTTAGTTGCAACATTCCCTTTTTCACGTTTGCCAATGCACAACTTTGATCGTGATTATATTTAATTCTCTATTAGTAAAAAACATTTAAAAATCAGATTATGAAACTTCGTAATGAGACGAATTCAACAATATTTTTCGAAAAAAAATAACTCACATACAATAGTAAATAAAATGTAGTCAAAGTAGAGTGCATGAATAGTGCATAAATTCCAATGTTGCAACTATTATGTTACGGAGGAAGTATATGAATGAGAATGATAGGGTTTAATGTTGGGGGGGGGGGGGGGGAGGTATACTAGGGGTGGACTGGGATGGAGCCCGGCGGCCTGCGGGTCAAAGATTATCAAGCCTGGTACTTATGCATGGCCTCGGTTCGGGCCGCCCGGCCCGACCCGGTTATCCGGGTCCGGGTCCGGTTCGGGCCGGAGGCCCGGGGGGTGGGGCGGGTTCCGGGCTCGGTTCCTGGTTTTGACGGCCCGGCCCGGCCGGTTCGGGCCCGGGTCCGGGCCAAATCTATTTTTTTTTTTAATTTTTTTCATTTGTTTTGGGCTGTTGGGCTTGGGCTATCTGTTTAGGCCGGTTTGGGGGGGGTTTGGGGGGGTGGGGGGTGGGGGGGGGGGGTGGGGGAAGAAAGGAAAAAAAAAAAAAATTAAACCGGGTGGCCCGACCGGCCCGGCCCGGCCCGGCCCGGAACCGGACCCGGAACCGGTGGCCACCGGTTCGGGCTCGGGCCCAACAAAACAGACCCGAGGCCCGGCCGGGCCTAGGCCCGAACCGGGCCCGAACCGGCCCGGGTCCATCCATACTGGTACTGGGTCCGGTCCGGGCTACCCGGCCAGGCCTCTGTCCGAGTGTTCGGGGCTGGGCTTGTTATATTTTTTGTTAATTTTTTTTGAATTAATTCCAACCCCCCACCCCCAAACCCCTCCAAACCGCCCAGCCCCCCACCCGGATCGGGCCGGTCCACCAAAATAGGATCCCGGCACCGCCGGCTTCTTCATACGGGTCAGGCCCATGGCAATTGGCATGGTCCCGGTCTTGGTCAACCAGGCCGGGCCGGGTTTGCACAGTGCCGGGCGGGGTAGGCCCGGCCTGGCTCAGCCCTATTTAGTGCACTGAACCCCACGTGAAATATAAATTCAACGCATTAGCCCATGCGATTTAAAAATTGTGCCACCCCCATCCTCATTCCCCACCCCTCGTGTTATAGTTATTCATGTGCAAAACTCCTATAAATAAATTTAATTGCCAAAAAATGAAAAATGATTAGTTTTTTTTTTGTATTTTCTCTGTATTTAAAAATTTGTTACACTTCCCTATTTGGGATGTATTTAAAAGTTTGTCACACTTTCCTTTTTTGGATGTTTTTCTTTTAAAAATAACCAATTATACTTACTTTTTCTATTTTTTTTTTAATCTTTTCTTTCATATTTTTCACATTTTCTCTTACTTTGGCTACACTATGCATTACCCCATAGTATTTCCCCCTTAAATATTGTGCCAAGATCTAATATAGTGATCTTTTAAATACGAAGGGAGTACAGTTTAGAAATTTGACAAAGTTACTTGCATATTCAATCATATTATTAAGAAAAGTGATTTCAAAATTGTAAAATTTGTTCTTGGATGTGGTTTTGCGCATGAATAATTATAAAACAAGGGGTTTGACACATTTTTTTAAATCACATGGGGCTAATGCACCGAATTTATATTTCACGAGAGAGTTTGGTGCATTAAACTCGAAAAATGGAAGAATATTGAATAAAAAATAGCATGATGGCTAAAAAAACAGAATAATGGCTAGAGGATGCAGCTAATGAGCCAAGACAAGAGGAAAACAAGGAAAGTGAAAAAAGAAAAGCTAAAAATACAAATAACATGAGGGGGTCTATTTGATTCTTTTTTTCATGAGGGGGCCTATTTGATTGTTTTTCACTAACATATGCCTCTCTGTGATAAACTTTTAATCGGAAATGCTGTTTTGTTCACGTTTTTATAAAAGCTGCACATATTCCTGAGCACAAACATTTTTTTCATTTTCTGAAGAGAATTGCGTCTCACACAGACAAACAAATTTGAGCGTTCCACAGATAAAAAAATTGTCTGTACGAGACAAATCACACAATTCTCTTCACAAAACGAAAAATGACGTGTATGAAAAACATATATACCAAACATAACTCTTTTGTAGTATAGGGGCTGAAATGATGATTTCACAATAATAGAAGTGACTAAAGGAGTGTTTGCAGTTGATTAAAAAAACACTTTTCAGCTTTTGACTTAAAAAAAGTTAAAAAAAGTGTTTTTAAATGACAGCTTTTGCTTAAATTAATCACTTAAAAGCTAAAAGCTGGAAGCAGGTGGAAGGGTGCTTTAAACTGCTTTTCACTTTTTCTATTACACAAAAAGTACTTATTTTACCAAACACTACCAACTTTTACTTTTTCAGAATCACTTTTTCCTCAAACACTACCAACTTTTACTATTAATCACTTTCCCCAAATCACTTTAAAAAATCACTTTTTTAAAGTTGAAGCAATTGCAAACACTCCCTATGACAGTGTTTTCTATTGTTCTAAGAAGCACTTCTTACCTTTTTTTTTATTATCTCAAAAGCTAAAAGGAGTGTTTGTGAATACAAAATTAAGCTTAAATTTAATCACTTTTATGTCAAAAGCTGAAGTTGGTCTAGACATGCTTTTAATAGCTTCTTGGTATTTTTGTGAATAATTAAAATTTAGGGAGAGTTATTAGGATGAATATTTCCATTAAACCCAAAAGTACCCTCCCCTCACCCCTGCCGGTCTCTCTTCTCTCCCTGCCTTCCTCATCATTCCCCTCACCAGAAGCACCCCAAATTTCAATTCATATGTGCATATAAATACATATAAATATAGGTATATAGATCGTTAGATGTTGGTCCTCTCCATGGACGGATGAAAGAGTGGGTTGCAGATAGGAGATTTCCGTACGGTGAATCTGGACATTAGGTCTGCGGCTTAACTTGGGGAGACTCTGGAGATGTCGCCCATGGCCGGATAATGACGCCGATCTTAGGTTGACGCCGGTAGCTGTGAGCTTGGGAGTTGCCGGCTTGCGAGGCCAGTAGGAGAAAGAAGACAGTCTTGTACAGAACACATGTGTGCCCCCAATTTTTATTTATCCAAGGGCAGTCTTGTACTTTAACAAATTATTCCATTAAAAATCACTTTTTTATCAAACACTTCAACTTTTACCATTTAATTACGAGAAAATTGTCAAATAGACCCTCTACTAATACAGAAAAGTCAATTAAGCCTCTGAACTCAAAAAACACTCAATTAAGCCACGAGCTATAAAAAATGAGGCAAAACAGTTCTTTTAGCAGGTAATTAAGCGGTTAAAAAGAGATAAGGAAAAAAGGAAAGAAAGAGAAAAAGAAAATGTAAAAGCATGCCACATCATTTGACACACATGCAACTTAACTGAGAACGGTTAATATCCTGCTAAAGCCTAAAAGGATTGTTTTGCCTCGTTATATTTAGTTCGTGGGCAGTGGCGGACCCAGAAACTCAGAGTCACGGGGTCCCTAAACTAATGCAACTTTCATTAATATAAAATTAAAAGAAAATTAATAAGCATAACGTTTCATAGTTAACGTACATCATCAAAACATTAAGATGATATAAAGTAAAAAATTACATATCAAATTCATTCTACAATTCTACAAAAGTACCTTATAGGTTTCATTTGTTGGAATTATTTTATAATATATAGGTCCACCAACATGTACATAAAACCTATCTTTTTTATTCCGTGCTCAAAATCATATTCCCAAAAAATGATTATTACTAATTTTCCACTCTTTTCTAAACAAATAACACGGTAAACAAAATTTAGCATCTTTGACTAGTGTATTCCAACCATTTATGTTCATCAAACCAACTTGAAACTAATCTAAGTTTTTTGCCGCCAATTACTTTAATAGGGAAATCATGATCTCGAAATTGAAACGATCCTTTTTTACAGTAACTAAGGCGTACCCTCTCATGAACATTAGGATGAAATCAGTATGTTGTTCATGTAGATTATAGGCCAAATTAGTTTCACTTTCAGCAAGTTCTAGATTTATTTATTTTTTTACTAGATTCAATTCTTTATTTACTAAAGGTGAATCATTTGAATAAATATCTTAACTACTCTCAGTAATCCAAATTTCTTTAAATTTGGGTACACTACCGAAATACCTTTTCACCCTTAATCGTAAAATTTCAAAAAAAAAAAACATTCAAAAATACATAAATTTATTAATTTAATCGTAACATTCAAACGAAATTTTATAATTAATTCAAAAAAAATAATAAGAATTAGTTGAGGTCTGAAGGGAGATACACATATGACAATAGATTTGTTGTGGTATCAGGTTTGCAGTTAGTTGGAAGGGGTTTAAAGATGACAATAGATTTGTTGTGGTATCAGGTTTGCAATTAGTTGGAAGGGGTTTAAAAATTGGACCAAAAGGACATCATTTGGAGTTTTAAAATGCAAGTTTTAAGAATAGAAAAATCAGACGCAAGGGGGAGTCGAACCCAGTATCTCACGCACTGGGAAAGCTTTCCACCCGCAGATGAAACAGTTACTCCGCTGCACCACTTCGGTTTCTAACTCGATTTTTTTAGATATATATTCAATATATACAGGTAATTTTGTAAAATATATATAATATATATAGGTAAATTTTTCGAAGACCACGGGGTCCCGGGACCCCATGGGACCCTTATTGGGTCCGCCATTGTTCGTGGGCTTAATTGGATGTTTTTTTAATTCGGGGGCTTAATTAACTTTTTCGTATTAGTAGGGGGGCCTATTTGACACTTTTTCCTTTAATTAAAATCACTTCTATTTACAAACACTACATACTTTTACTACA